AACTGACATGTCACATAGCGCTTTCCGTTTCCTTTGGCCCTGAACTCAAGCGAACACGCGAAACCTGCTGATTTCTGTATGCCAAACCCAGCAAAAGGTTGACCAGGCTATGCTTAAGTATGGAACAGAAGGTGGAAGCTGTTACATTATGTGAAACCCTCTAATATGGAAGACTTTGCCCTTTCCAGATTTCACCGCACCGATAGCCATAGTAACCTGAAAAGGGATTCATAGGTGTCGATGCAGCTGTCACAACCATACGCCTGTCTTCGGAGGCAAAGTTGAATAGTTTTTTGGGGGTTGAACCAAGTAACATCATGAATCATAATCGTATTCTTCTTACACAGCACTGTACTCAAAAACAAATTATCAACATCATCTTTCCCTATCTTGGGGATTGCAATCTATGTGTGTATATATATAAATATATATATATATATATTATATTGTTAAAAAATGTATAGTACCCAATGCTGTTCACCTGGGAATTGGGGGTTAGCGGGCGAAAGAATGCTTTGCAACAACGGGATCCCGACAGTTGGCTCAGGTTGGGATTGTACCTCGGAGCACAAGCCTGACAAAAGCACATTCCCGCATCTGAAAAAGACTTGCGATATTACACACTAACGCCCCTAAGTCACTTGCAAGGACTTAGCCTGCGCAGCTGGATGCCTAGTGCAAAACTGGCATACGTTGGTGCTGAAAGTGACCATGAGGAACTGCCATGATGATGACTACGACGATGATGCATCAAACAGATAGCACTGCAGCCTCAGTACTCGGATAAATATGAGGCCGGAACATTGAAAACATAAAAAACCTGAAGGAAAGTAAGCAGAAGCCCTTGTGATTCATAATCACTCATACGACAACACCACGCCTGGGACGAAAAAAACACCAAGCCGCGTGAGTTTTTCGCTGGTGGCACAACTGCTTGACGAAGCTGCCTCTCATGTCGCAAGTCTACCTGCGGCCTTAGCTGGACTCCAAGGTACTTCAAAGGTTCCAGAACCCACACCAGTGGGCACCCAGGATAATTGTAGTAGGCTAGCTTGCTTCTGATGTAGAAGATAATTGGGCTCGTGGAAAGCCTAGGGTTCACGGTTTGGGATGCACGGGTTCAGGGCCACAACTTCCGAACATTGAGGCATCCCAACTACGGGTAGCTGCTGCTGTTGCTGTTGCTGTTGCTGCAGCTGCAGCTGCTGCACCGTGTCCCATCTAAAGAGTCATAGCTCCTACATTAGACCCGATGGACTAGGCTCCGTTAAGGCAATGGGAGCCCATCTCTGCTGGCGAAGGCTGAATTGTGGTCCCGGAGCTTCTTGCCTAAAAAACCCGGAGGCCACCTGGAAAGCCATGCACAACAAGCTTTGGAGAACAGACCTGAAACAAATATGATTTAGGTAGGAAATGGTGGGAACCTTCCGATGGGCCAATCTCAGAAGCAGCTCCCACTACACACCACACCTAGCTCATGATCAAAGGCTTCTCAAGTCTTCCCATCGGCCCACTGCTTGCCAATGCGGTATCAACCCTTAATTTGGAAGCGAAGCGCAAGGACAGCTTTTCAACAGTTTTGCCGTAACAATCGAACAAAATGGCTCAAGTTGAAAGCTCCTGTACTCGGTCCTATGGCGCAAACAGCATGTAAACCTTATCCCAAGTCCGGTGCCCATGGTGATTCCAGTGAGCGTCGCATTGGAGGTGGTAATGTTGGGAAGACGGTCCATCTCCAGCTCCTTTAGCATGTCTCTGGTGTCCGGGTCCACCTCAAACAACTGCATTGAGCTTCAGAATTCAGGTGCTTAGGAGCCGCAACATCATCACACCTGCCTGGATGAACTCAGTGTTGACCTCAGACTGGTCAGGCACGAACTC